TAAACCTTAACCGGACTAGGAATTGACCTCCGGGCTTAACGCCCTTCAAGAGTATACTCTAAGTGCCTAGTTGAGGGCTGCCCGCAAACCAGAACCCTGAACCCCAAACCCTAACCCTAGGAGGGTTTAGTCTTGCGCCAGCCGAACCCTTAAAGCCGTGAACCCTGTGGGTGCGAAGCCCTAAGCCCTGGACCTCAAATCCCCACATTGATCCCACCCACCCTGCCGACCCAGAATTCAACCCTAACACTCCAAATCCTAAGCCCTACACCCTAACAAAACCCCGAACCCTAAACCCTAAACCCTGGAACCTGAAACCCTAAACCCTAAACCCCAAACTTGGAACCCTGAACTTGAAACCTGGAACCCTAAACCCTAACCCCTAAACTTGGAACCCTGAACTTGACACCCTAAAGGCCTTCGGTGCCCAGCGACGACCCACAGGAAGCGGCGCACCAGGGCGTGGCTCGAGTCGAGCCCCTGTTTCCTTGAGGAAGTGGTTAGAGGGCTTTAAAGTTTAGGGTTTAGGGTTTAGGGCTTAGGGCTTAGGGTTTAGGGTTTAGGGTTTAGGGCTTAGGGTTTAGGGTTTAGGGTTTAGGGCTTAGGGTTTAGGGTTTAGGGTTTAGGGTTTCGGGTTTAGGGCTTAGGGTTTAGGGTTTAGGGTTTTGGGTTTTGGGTTTTAGGGTTTAGAGTCGGCACGCTGTTTGGTTGAAGTTTTGAGTGGGGCTCATGCATTCAGTGCGTAGGCCATTGGTACCTTTGGGTCTGTTTCCTTGAGGAAGTGTTTAGAGGGTTTACAGTTGATGGCTTCGGCTTCAGGGTTTAGAGAGCCCTGTTTCCTTGAGGTGTTGAGAGGGGCTCATGGGGTGTTTGGGTGTTAGGGTTTAACGCATTTAGGGTTTGGGGTCCCTGCTTTCGTAGGGGAGTCTCGAGAGGCTTTGGGTTCAGAGCTCAGGGTGTAAGGTATGTAGGGTTTCGTGTCCCTGCTTCCTTGAGGGGGCCTTTCGGGGCGTTTATGGGCTTTTCGGTGGCTGTTGGGGTTTAAGGTTCAGGGTTTAGGGAATAGGGTCTGCAGAGCTGGGCGGCTGGGGCTTATGGGGTTGAGCTTGGGTTCTAGGGCTTTCAGGAAATGTCAGGCTTGTGGCTTGCGGGGTTTATCGTTTCGGGCTTCGGATCTCTGCTATAGAGTGTCTGGGCTTTGGGCTCACAAAACTGGCTTTTTCGGGCTTATCAGGCTTGTAGGGTTTTTAAGGGTAACGAGGCTTGTACGGATTATAAAGTTTCGAGTTTCCTGAGGGGAGTGCTTTGATGTTGAGAGCATAGGGTCTAAGGTTGGGTTGTTAAAGGCGTTAATCCCTAAACCCTAAACCCTACCTAAACCCTAAACCCCAAACCGTAAAGGATGGCGAGGTGGGCCTCGGAATCCAGGGAAAGTCTTACAATTTTGGGCTTAGAAAGCCTGAAACCCTATAATCCCTCAGCCAACCCTAAACCCTAAACCTTAAACCCCAAAAATCTGGAACGCTCGAACCCAAACACCTCAAACCCTCCAAACCCTCAAACCCTCAAACCCGCAAAGCCTCAAGCCCTCAAACCCTAAACCCTAAACCCTAAACCCTAAGCCCTAAACCATAAACCCTAAACCCTAAACCGCCCAACACTTACGAACAGGAGGCAAGCGGCTCCCATTCCTGCAGATGCCTCATCAGGTCTTCCTCGATGATCTCCTGGAGGGGTTTAAGGTTTAGGGTTTAGGGTTTAGGGTTTGGGGTTTAGGGTTTAGGGTTTAGGGTTTAGAGTTTAGGGTTTAGGGTTTAAGGTTTAGGGTTTAGGGTGTTCGGACGAAGCCCTAAACCCTAATAACCTAAAGGGTGCTCCCATCCAATCTGAGGCCACAGCGTCACTCACACTTAGAGCTCAGTAAACTCGTGCCCCCTTTGATTTCTCGATGCATATCTGCAAATACAGATGGTCCCTCCCCGGCAGATCTGCATACTAAAGCGTTGGATGGCATGCTACATCTTACCGGTTCAGGCAGCCAATGCTGCCAATTGAACACACAGGGTCCTCTCCAACCCTTCGTAGCCTTCCTCTGTTCCATGACCCCTTTCATACCCCACCGGGGTAAGCAGGGCAGGGAGGGAGGGGAAAAAGATCTCCACCCCGCTCACGCGGGCCCCGGATGCACTTCCTCGGGCCTAAACATTCAACGGGGTGGAGAATGGAGACCCATCAAGGTTATAACCTGTGCACCCTAAGCCTGCCACACGCGACACAGCGCAATAACCTAAAGGGTGCTCCCATCCAATCTGAGGCCACAGCGTCACTCACACTTAGAGCTCAGTAAACTCGTGCCCCCCTTTGATTTCTCGATGCATATCTGCAAATACAGATGGTCCCTCCCCGGCAGATCTGCATACTAAAGCGTTGGATGGCATGCTACATCTTACCGGTTCAGGCAGCCAATGCTGCCAATTGAACACACAGGGTCCTCTCCAACCCAACGCAGCTCCGAACTTTTCTCACTTCATCCAACGCTGCTCCAACTCTCTCCAAAGCTCGGGCAGAGGCAACTGCCACAATGGAGCCATGGAGTTTAGGTCTACTTCCTGGGGTGTTCGCCCAGTAGCCTTCGCTGACCAGGCGCTTTGCTCCAGCGTCCGTGAAATGTCATCTGAAAAATTGAGTTTCGACTGTACATACTCAAAGTACACCTGACATCTGAGCCCGTAGGCCAACAAGTGAAATAGAGCCACTGTCCGAGCTTGCACTGTGTTGCCGGACGTGCCTTTCACCAACGCGTGAAGGCTTGACGTATTGTCCAAGAGCCACAGAACGCGCCTATGTCTAAACATGTGAGAGCATGCTAACAACGTGATGGGGACCATGGCTCCCTCGCACTCAGCAATGCAAGATGCCTCAGCCTCATATCCCCAAGCACGCAATAGGCACGCGAACCTTGTGAAACCGCACCACGAGTTATCTTCATCCCAAATGATAGCCCCTCCAGTTGGCGCTGAATCAGCTTGCGCATCAGTTGCCACCAGAAGAACCTTATCATATCGAGGCATGATGTGGACTTCTCGCGGAATCAATATGTCGAGCAAAAATAGCAAAAACTCAAACGCATAGTCCAAAGACAGTGAATTGTTCCAGGGAAAATGGTCTGTGTACTGTCGCTGTTTCAACGGTCCCATGGCCACCCGCCCAATCCGGCCGTACATGGCTAGAGCAGTAAACCCAGCCACGCCCCTAATCTTGCGAGCCTGAGCTGGCGTGGTTTGCTTCTTGCATGCACCAATCAACGTCCGCAGCTTGTCCCTTACAGAGTCTTTGGCAGTGAAAAGACAAGTCCCCTGGGATAAGGCCCTCCCGAGGTCATGCTGCATTCCCAAAAAAATACTTGAGGGTGACATCAACAAACGCTTGTGCTCAGCCAAAGGAACTCCCAAAGCCAGCAGCATCTGCCTGCCAAGCCACTGCGCAGAGCCTTTGCCAATAGCAAAATCAACTACGTTGGAATCGTCCACATACAGAGCCCACATCAAGCATAGAACTCTGCGAGTCATTGCTTCCAAAAAACGACTCCATCTTGCAAATTGCATGACGCTTGCACTGAACCCAAAAAGGAGCGCACTCATAATGACGAATTGTACCTCCCCAGATGTAGGATTTTTTACCATAACCACATTAGCTGGCAAATCCTGCAGCTGAACGGGGAGCATACGATACGCGTCCGATATATCCTCGCCTCCTGACTCTAGCGAATGCTCGCTCAAAGTGTGCCTGGAGACGCCTTGTTGCAGCGCTTCTGCCGCAACTGCCTTGGCAACCGCAGCTGGCTGAAAAGCTGTGCACATACGCATCCGTTCCACATATCTCAAGGCCGAGTTTTGCAAACCCCTCCTGGCATTGTCAATACGACGCAACTTGCCAGATGGCTGCACGTGAGCAAACGTAGGAACTCCAGCCCAGCCCTCCGGAAATGTGGAGTCCACTTCCTCTTTGCGCAAGAAGCCACAAGCCCAGCCATTCTGAATTTCTTGCGCGCAACTCTCCCAAACAAAGTCAGCATATTCATCCAAGGGCTGGGCCTGAAACCACTCGCGGACCTCCAGCGCTTGACCCCAGAGTTGCTCTCTGGTAAGCGCAGGATCGCCCTCCTGCACGGGTTGAAAGACCCCCGTGAGTGGTAACTCCCCCAGCAGACTAAAACCAGTCACCATATCTTGCGCGAGCTGGGTATCTTTCCACTGCATGATGAGCAGTAAATACGGCAGGACCCCTAGTTGGACACTAGGTAACGACCTCGCGTGACGAGGCTGAAACTGGCGCAAACGCCTAGTGAGCGGGACGCACCGCTTTATCAATTCCATGAAAGCCTTGCCGAACTCATTTCTGCTGCTACGTAGGCACGTCATGTTTCTGACTGTCCACTCAACAGCAAATTGCAAGTCGTCATCAATGCTGGTATCATCGAACGGCAGCGACCCCGAACCTGCAATGGTTTTGCACGCCTCGAACATCTCAGGAGCTGCACCACAAACAGGCAGCATACTAGGCATGGCCCCTTTGGCTTGACCCACTCTGGTTTGCAGGCCCAGCGCAACCCCATGCGCCCCTACACTCGCAGCATAATGCACATCTGGATTGCCCTCACGCCCCTCTGCCCAGGTCCTCCACAACAGAAATGGGCTCTGATTGAGCAAGTCCTCTAAGCACGGCAATGCAAAACCATGCAACCACTCATGCGGAAACAAATTGCGGACGAATTGATTGATGTGATGCTGGCTAAGGGTGTAGGACATAGCGGCAGGTATTGCTGGTGCCTTAGCACTTCCCTCGTGGCTCCTGATGGAAGAAGCGCGTCTCGGCGACACCGAGACCCGCACCTGTCCCTCTGCTGCAGCCATGTCCCTCGACACAGACCCGCTGGCCAGGAAAAGGTGAGGCTCAGGCTGCCCACTCGCAAACGCCTCAACATTTGCAAGCGGGCCCCATCACGAGGCCGACTTGGACTTGTGATTGCATGCTCGGTGATTTCGCATTCCACAGACCCTGCCATTTTCTTTGATGATGTATGAGCAGGCATGCGTTAGCTTCTTCTGGCATCTCTCAGCGCAGCCACCCTGGTTCCAGTCTGAGCACAGACGCGTGCCATCTTTGAGCTTTGCTGCGAGCTTGCCAATCTTGCTGGGTGACTTCGGCGTCTTCTCTGACTTCTCATTTGCTGATGTCGCAGATAAGTCGTCGCTCGGCACTATCTCCCAAGCATGATCAAGCTCCAGCATCGTCTGCTCAATGATTTGTCCTAGGGGAAGGTTGCTGAAACGGAACCTCTCAACCCACAGCTGCCTCTCACGCTCATCTCGCTGCTGCAGCCACGTCAAAGCCGCGCTGGGGGGCGCTAACTTGACACACCTTGCTGCTCTACGATGGTATCGCAACACGACATCCAGCGGCACTTGCACATACGCAGTGGACCGGGTGTTGGGGCCCTCCGGCTCCGCGGGCTGCTTCTCGAGCGGCCTCACTCCTGCCTTCGCCAATCCATACAGCAAAACTTGCAAAAGTTCCAAATAATTGCTCACATTCTCTGAGATGGGTTCGTCGATGGCCTCTTCGGCGTCCACAATCTCAATGGACCCAAGCTTGCGTCTCTTGCGAGTAGTCAACAAACTGTGCCGAAGTGTCTTCACCTTGAAAACAGATTGGACCTGCAACATGCGCCTATCCAGCTGCTTGGCCAGGCTAGACACTAGGGCATCGGACGGAGCTACCTGAACCTCCAGCTGCAACTTGTACCTCTGGTGAAATAAGGCATCTAGCTGCTTGAGGTCATGCAACGGCAACAAAGCTTCCAAGTCCAGAGACTCGTCACCGCGCTTCTTCGCCTCCTGCGCCTGTGTGCCGGCCACGCGTATGGCCAACCATGCCTGGCGAAGCCGGGCTGCTTGCAACCCAGACTGCGCAAGGTTGGCGATCTTAGATGTGATCTTCGCCTCAATTTCTGCTTCAGACGTAATGAAGGCCGAATAGTCTTCAAGAGTTCGCAAGCCCACTGTCTCAACCAGCCAGTCCCCCACATTTTCACTGATGCGAAAGCTGGCGCAGAGCTTCTTGAACGTGGCCTTTGCATCTTCCTCAGAGACCTCCTGGAGGCCCACTAAGGGCACGCCCCCTATTGCAAGAGGCGTGGCATCCATGGCTATGGGCTTTAGTTCTCAGCCCAAGCTACTTGTCTACGGAAAAAATGAGCAAAATCTCAGTTTCCAGCATGAGTCTGACACACTGATGTGTCTTCGCTGTGGCAAGCACGGAAGACCCGTAATTGGCAGACTGCTAAAAAAAAAAAAGACACGAGAATCTAAGCGTGCGGCTGTTTTATTGCTTTGCAGGAGCAGACGAACGCGGTTGCGCCCCCCGCCTCTAGCCCCTTGGTCATCTGCGCACTGCTGAGGGGTCCAGCTTCTCCAGCTCCCTCAACTGCGGCAAACTCAGCCACGTCAGGCAACTTTTGCAGAATGCCCGGCCCGTTGCTACCGCCTCGAGCAAGTTATCTAAAACAACAGGCTCGCGCTTGAACTTAGCACGGCGCTGTCGTTGCTTCCATGTACATCGCGGCCTACCCTCAAAGTTCATATGAAGCAATGCTGCAGAGCGACTAGACGTGATCCAGCTGACACAGCCAACCGACAGCGAATCTACTGCGGGCTTCGCTGCAAGCTCAGCATGACCTGCTACACAAAATCTCGGCTCACAAACATGGCCAGCAATGAAGTCCGACCCTGCAGCCCACTCAATGTCCGAATCCTGCAGGAGGTCGGCGAATCGCTGCCTCCATTGCTTCTCGTTTGCGGCACCCTCGCTCAACCACCAAAGGCGGCAATCTTCCCAAGTCGCGCAACGCTGCACCATGGAAGCAGTGCACAGGGCCTGCACGACGCCGACTTGGAGCTCTGCCTGGACCTTCGCGCCAGAGTAGCGCAGAGGCATGACTTTGTCTGCCCTGCCTTCTTTACTGGTCCAGTTTCCTAATGCCATCCGCTCAGGCATGTCAGCCGCACGAACATCTAGCAACGTAGGCTGGAACCTCCGCAAAGAATATGACGTGCACCGATGGACATTTGCATCCTTCATCACCGGCGCCACGCACTCTTGCAGCACACGGTTGAAAACTGCAGCTTTGACAGGCAGCAGCGAGTGCGCATCCACAACCATGCACTGAGACGGATGCTGTTGTCGACGCTCCGATTGCCAGATCTGGGCCCACGTTGTCCACAGCACATCCACTGCTTGGCGCAGAGTTGGTGTAACCAAAGGCACAAACCAGCGGAAACCTCCCCGGACCACACCATCCGTGCGCACTTTGCCTTGGTAGGCCCAAAATGCTGCCCACCACTTCGTGCGGGCCACGGGTCTGGACCGAAGCGCGTGCGCAAAGCGCAGAGGTTTCACTGAAGCGCACACGGCAACAGCTGTAAGCACCCTCCGCCAACTTGCCAACTGAACATCCTCGCGGAAGGCGTCCCATATAGCACGTATCATGCAAGGCTCTGCAACAACAGCTTGTTGGCTCGGCTGTCTGCAACTCTTGCCCCCAGCTGGCACGCAGACGTGTTCTAGCTTGAGCGGGGCTTGCAAATGCACCACCAGCCATTTCAGCCTTGCAAACAAGTTCTTCGCCGACGCGCCCCCAGACTGCTCCAACTTTCTGTCCATGAAATCTTCAATGCACGCTGCAGGCAATGGCCAATGTGCCCTGGTGACTTGCAGCTGGGTCATCCAAAGCTCCAGCGACTGCCACGTCCGCAGACCAGCTTTTAGCCAACCTGCATCGAAGTGCAACAAACGCGTGACACATATTTCTCTACGACGCATAGCCAGGCCAGCCAGGTCCGATGACTGGGTAGTTTTTGTAGACTGTCGGCTCTCGATTGCTCATGTGCGCACAGCTTCGGAGTCATTGTGTGGTCTTCGCCCAACCTTTAGCCGTAAGAACATCGAAACAAATCTTGTGGCAAGACAGCCAGAGGCGCTGCGAACATGGAACCACATGTCACATGTTACATCTCATATGCACACTGCCCAGAGACAGAGAGTCTATCTATTCTTTCCTGCGAATCTCGCTCGCCCAACATCGAAACGTCATAGACTCACAGGGCCTGTTGGAAGTCAACACAGGCCTCAGACCCCATCCCACGACCTATGGTTTCTTTTTCGTTCCTGCGCCAGCGACAAGTGCCTGGGCCCTCTTGTTTTTGAGCCATTTTGACGCGTCGTGTGCAATTTTGCATGCTGCTCCAAGCTGATTTTGAATTTTTGGTGGTTGCCGGTTACCTTGGTTCAAATACAGAGCTTTCACATAGGACATAGGGACTTAGTGACCTAGTGCTGGGTGCTTGCCCGCTTCCGGTGCCCAGGTCCAGGAGATGTTCACAAGCTCTTGCGCAAGCGGTCTCTTCTGCAAGTCGGTCTCTTGCATAGACCGCGGAACTTCTGCTTTGGACACGCCTCTGCAAAATGGCCTTCTAAGGACCAAGCTTCCTTTGTACAATCCCGGACTTGGGGGGATGGTTCGTTTGGGCGTACGGGCTACCTCAACGACAGCTGCCACATCGAGAAACGGCTCATCGCGAGCCAATCGCCACAAGCGGCATAACGCTGCATCCTCTGGTGCCAAGACATAATATGTCGCCAGGTCTGCTCGAGTTTCCAGCCCTAACTCAGACAAATGATCGATGACACGCTGGGGCGCCTTTTGAGCATGCAACCACGGGGTCAGTTCTGCCAATGTGCCCAGAAGACTCGCCTGTCTCTCGACAGCAGATAGCATGACATGGCGGAAAAAGATCTCCACCCCGCTCACGCGGGCCCCGGATGCACTTCCTCGGGCCTTGAGCCAAAATGGCTACGCCCTAAACCCGGGACCGGATCCCGGAACCAATGCATTCACGAAAATAATGTTCATTCCATTCACTCTTTTTTGAATAAATGCTCAGCACAAGAAAAGATTGCTAGTGCTGCCATAAAGTCCAAAGAACAAAGTAAAAAGAGAATTGCGTGTGAAATATCGTGAACGAAGAGAACATAACTAGAATAGAAGTGTGTGAATTTAATGCGCCATCGAATGAACTTTGAACTTTATGTTATGGCTGAGCGAAGTGAGCGTGAAAAAGCCCCGCCGAACATACAGACAACAGGGTTTTTTGTCGCTCAGCCTTTTCGCATTCTTCTTGCGCGGCCAGCATCGTATTCTTTTTGGCCGCGTTGTACTACATTTAAAGTGGTGTTTGGAAGCACAATCATATAGTAGCAAAAGTAATATGTTCGTCCCTTTTTTCATAATTCAATCATAATGCTATCTATTCATATTAGTGAAATCGATGATCTTTGAAGCTAAAGGCAAATTATCAGCCGGATGACTCGATTACATTGAATTAGAGAGCATAGAAGATACATTTCTTTTAGGATCTTTAAAAGATAGATTTTCAAATACATCCGAAATATTTGATGGATATTCAATATTCTGTCTTTGAAAAGTGGATATTCATTATGATCGTTCAATTGATATCAATTTCTGAAAATGCTTCCCGTTTATTTAGCCGCTGACCCGGGTCGAGCGCCAGGAAGCAGTTTACATGATGGATAATCTGGTTAGATGGGACGGATCTTACAAAATATACCTGGAAGGGATCCAGAAAGAAGAGGGTTCCCACAAAAGCAAAAAGTAAAAAAAAAAAAAAAAAACTCCACGATTCGAAAATATCGCGAATGGCCCGCCAACCCACAAAACCGTTCCGATCCTGGACTCCGGACCCCCCACTTGGAACCCCCGCACACAGACACACACAAAATGAAAAACACCGAAAAAAACTCTTCTTCCCATGGTCATGAATGCAAGACCCCTTGTCCTGGGGACCCTCCCCATAAAAATTCCGCAACATTCTTCTCTGCACTTGGAACCCGGGGCTCCAAAGCCCCCAATCCCCTCCTAATAGTCCTTGCTCTCATCAGACCCATAAGATGATGAATGATTCGTGATGTTCGCCCAACGAACGTTCTGTGCAATATAGGATAATGGTATGCCAGGTTCCGGATCGAGCCTCTTATCGCCCCCAACGATGAAGGAATAACTGGTCAGCGATGTCATTGATGAAGCACATTATAATCATTATAACTTCAGGAATGATGTGTCCGAAAGATGCAATCGTCCAGAGATCCATTTGCATTGTCAAAATCTGCCAGGCCGCGTTTCCAGCGCGCTTTGTATTCTGCTCCAAAATGATTCTACAATCTCATCCTCCAAGACGATCAGCGAAGCATTCCGGCCATTCAGCAGAAACACCATAATAAGGGCCGCTTTATACTAGATTTAAAGGGGCGTTTGGAAGCACAATCATACGGTAGCAAAATACTCCAGAAAGTTAGTATTCATAGTATCTCCCGCCTTTTAAACCTTGTCAAACAAATCCAGCAAGATCACGCGCAGCCCATTTGTTGCAAAAAAGTGCTATCTGCTTCTAGGCCCAAGCAACGAGCTAAATTCTAGCGTATTTCAACCTTGACCCGGGATCCTCCAAGCCTCGACGCAGATCCGACGCTGATGCTGGCCATGGCTAGCCATAGATAACGCGCTTTGACAAAATCAAGCAAACTTGTGGCTTGTGGTTGACAAGATCAACAGGTGACACAGCATCGTGGGAAGCCTTCAGTGAAACTTGAAAGCATGCGGCAGACGAAGGATTCCTGGGCGATTTCTCAACAACCAAAAATCTATGCTTGAAATCGATACGCCACCAAAAAGTAGATCTACTCTCAATGTCGAAAGCATAAAGACAAACAAGGAAAGTGCACTCTCCGAGTGACAATGTGTCCAGATATCGAAAACAAGCGCTAGTACGGTACGCTGAATACCCACGTGCGTTTGCGTGCCCTACGGCGGCACTTCTTAGAGGCGTCTTCAATCCCTTCGCGCCATTCTGGATCACCAATCCCGATAATGTGGAAGTTGTGGCCGCAAATGCCAACCAAAGGTAAATAGTGCTAGATAATGCTAAATAGTGATGAATCGTGCTAAATAAAGCTAAATAGTGCTAAATGGTGCTGGACAGTGCTAAATCGTGCAAATCGTGCTAAAAAGTGCTAAAAAGTGCGAACTCATGCAGAATGCTACGAAACAAATACACGAATATTGCCAAACAAG